GTTTTATTTTGCTTTTTAGATTAAAAGAAAATAAAGAAGTCGGAGCACGCTTAATTGCTTCGCTTTTATGTAAAACAGCTCTGCTCCGGCCTCCGTATGCGCGTGACCTGCAACTGTTTTTGTTACGTGTGACCTGGGGGCATTCTGATGAGAGTGGTAGATGATCAGTGTGCCAGGAGGTTGCAGTTTCAACGAGCGTTGGCTAGCAGAAGTCCAATACAAGCCATGGCTAAGACGAGGGTCAAGCCCACGAGTAGCCTCCTGCAAAGTTTGCAAAAAAATAATGTCAGTTGTTCACGATGGGAGAGTGTTTAAGCTAACGTTAGCAAGCTGAATAGCGAACTCGATGAGGGATAATAATAATAATTGCAGGGGACAAGCATTTCAGAGGAGCGTACGCGTACCTATGTTAATATATGCATTACAGTCGCCATCCTGTGGTGTTCAGAGGATGAAGCACTCACTGTTGTAATTCAACCCAGTCTCACGGCATTTCGTGTTATAGTCACAAAATATAATCTATTGATTCGACACAGAAAGATTTGAAAATCAATGTATTTCTACTGGTAGTATGTTTCGTGCCTAAACCAAATGTGACTTGCTCTATAGAAATCAGTCAGGGCCGATTCAATATTGGGGGACACACATCCCCCCCCAATATTCAGATACACTCAAAATGTCCCCCCCCCCCCCCCAATAAATAGCAAAAATAACAAAAACATTTTTTTTTTTTTTATTAAAATAAAATTGCTATTCTATGACTTTTTTATTTTGGCTATTTGTAAACTTGAAAATCTTTATTTTCTGTTATTGTGAACTTCACCAAAATGATATATTCTTTTCATATGTAAATTAGTTCCGCCATGTTTGTTTATGCATACCTTTATTTTGTACCCGGGGTGTACTTTGCTGTCGCACGTCTGAGTCCAGCTTCAGTTAGCTTGATGCTCCAAGCAGGTCAGTCATGTTTTAGTTTGCCCTACATCAGTTCTGGTATCTTTTCTAGTTAGCCCTAAAGTAATCTATATTATTTTATTTCATAATTTTATTTCGTAATTTCGAAAATGACGGTGTCGTTTTGGATGTATACATATTTATTCATGAGTAGGCTATTATTTCTTTGTAGAGTGTGGAAATATTTAAAACTGTGATGTGTTACAGCTATGGAATACCAAAGGTGCCAGAATTAATTAAATAAATACTCTACAATTATGAAATAGTATTTCATAATCGTCAGAAGCATTTCAAAGATAGGGTTGCAGTGTGCACCATAGCTCGCGCTGGGTTTAGAACGCTCGGAATTGCTAATAAACATGTTTAATTATCTTATATCCGGCGCTGCTGACCCGGATTCATCACATCAGCAACTGCAGATCGCCGAGGTCAAGCTGTAAGCATGAGCAAGAGGAAGGGTGGCAGTGACATTAGACAGTTTTTGGGGAAGTTGGGGGTCTTTTGATTTTGATTGAGCGGCAAGCAGCTAGTGCGAGTCGTGACTGTAAAACAAAAGGGCAATAAAGTGTTCCTGTTTCTACTGAAATTGTGTGGCACAGACCTTTCTATGGATTGAAATGCTTTAATATGATTATGGTTATAGTTGTACTTTATTCATCCCTAATCTCTGCCATTACAAACAACGAAACAAGAAAAGCTAAACTAGATAAAATAGGGCGATGTAATACAATGCACAATTAGACATTATGGTAAAACATTTTAACCAGTTAAGCCCCAAGCCTGTTTTTCAGGTCTCAGGCTCGAAAATGACATTCCCAGAACAATTGACTATATCTTCACTTCTAAAATGGGTAACTGAATAATCTTTTTTCTCAAAGCAATGATAAACCTGTGAGTTGGATGTAGACAAAGTCAGAATCAATATAGATGTTTTTTAAGTAAATTCAGATTGAACATAGTACAAAAATGTAAATGATAGTGTCCGTCCAGAAAATAAACCATTACTTATAGTGAAAATCACCCTTGAATGATGGGATAGTAGACTAAAAGCTTTAGGAATCCATACTAACATAATAAGTAGTACCCTGTATCAAGATTGATGCAAAACAAGTATTTCCAAGGCACACCTTTATATGATCATTATAGTTATACAAAATAAGACAATAACAGGTATGAAATCATTCCAACTCATACTACAGTTTAAAAGGGGAGTGATTTGTAAAATATGCATAAAGAAAAAGTAAATCTGTTCAGTTCTGTTTCATATGGTGTCCCTAATTTTGCTCTCAAAGTGCACCAGATAGATGCATTTAACTTCAACATTTTAAAAAAAAAAAACTTCCCGGGGGAGCATGCCCCCGGACCCCCCTAGAGGAGGTTAGGTCCACCACCTGCCCACACCCCACGTCAAATTGTCCCACCCACATTGAGGATGCTTCCTACGCCCATGCCTGAGACACAGTTTATTGAATATTGTTGTGTTTTGCCCCCACGGGCAGGGGCATGGGGTTGAACAGGTTTTAAAGTATCTCATGTGTTAGTGCATTTTTATATATTTTCCTTTAGAATGGCAGGAAATTAGTATTCAAATTTTGATTGAATTTTTGGTCCCCCCCAATGTTGACTCCATGAATACGGCCTTGAGTCACATTGACCCGAAGACACATTTTCATTTGTATTACTGCTCTGGGGGAAGCTCGCGAGTGTGTGTATGTTTGTGTGTATTGTATTTGTGTACCGGGGAAACACTCACAAGAAACACCGACTGTTGTTATGATTCTAGCATTTACATGTAGAAAACCTAAAGCTTTACGAGAGCAGAAGTCAGGGAAACTCAGATCATTGTAACAAAGATTGACATCAGGGCACAGGTCAGAACTAGGGCTACATACAATAGAACAGTGGTTCCCAAACGGTGTGCCGCGGCACACTGGTGTGCCGTGAGGCAAGTCCGGGTGTGCCGTGGGATTTTGTGACGACCATACGTTATTATTGCAATATACAACTACACAACAAATAATTATTTTTTAATTTACTATATCAGTACTTTGTAGGTTTATATGTACGTAATCTGCGCGACTTGCGCGTCCACATCTCCACGTGCAGTGCTGCATAAACATGGCTGAGTCAGCGATAACTCTCGAGGGGTGGAGGTATGCCCATTACTTTGAGTTCGTCCGAAGAATAGACAGGAATGTGACGGTGAGGTGCAAACTGTGTCCAAGCCAGAAGCTGTTATCCACTGCTGTAAACACCACGTGGTCAAACCTCAACAAACACCTGCAAAGAACACATGCTAAGGTGAAGCTACCGCACACGCTATTTGTGGTTTGTTTATATCACGCAGTCTGTTCTTCTTCTCTGTCTTCCGGTTGTTGCCTGTTTTGAATGACAAATACACACTACCGCCGCCTGCTGGTAAGGAAAGTTATTGCCACTCACGCATGTGCAGTTCGTACGTGCTCGGCGAGTAAAATAACGAGTTACTTTATGTAGATAGTAACGAAGTAGTGTAATATATTACATTTTTTTAGTAACGACCCCATCTCTGGAGTTGGCGTTTTCTACGCTGATTTACATAAAGAACAACAGGAGGTCACAGCTCTCTGTTGAACAGGACTTGCGAGTGGCCCTCTCCTCAGCGCCCCGACACGCACATGTATCTCACTAATTTGTAAGTCGGCAAAAATATTTACAATAGCAAATGTTTCAATGCTGATTGCTGAAATGTTACATTTATAATTTGTAGTTCAGGACCATGGACAATGCCGCTTCCTTGCATTGACAGTTCTCTGTGCTGAATTTCTGCTGAGTTTCCTTTGCCTCATTTTTAATGTTGTGACCTGTCTGGTTTAAATGAGTGTGTTGCTGCTTTGATGAAGCCTAATTTGATACAGTTTCAAATTAATTTCTGAAATATTTCGTTAATAAATATTTCATGAGTAATATAGTTGTCTTTGTCACATTTTATTTGGCATTAGTAAATAATTATGCACATTTACAGATATTTTACATGATATGAGTGATAACACGTGTTATAAGGGCTATTTTGCACAATAGGTGTGCCTTGAGATTTGTACTTGTCCTTTGGTGTGCCTTGGGCACAACAAGTTTGGGAACCACTGCAATAGAAGGTCCAGGATGAACATGCACATTGCCCGATATCATAATACAATCAGAGCACGGCCAAGAGCTAGCAGTGAGTCACAATGCCTAGTTTGTTTTGTGCGCACATTGACAGTGGAATGTAGCGTAATCATCTTGTGTAGAGACCTCATATTCACACATGATAGTAGTGGCGGTTCGCATTTGTTATGCGCAGGAGGGGGTAGGGAGGCGGCGAATAACGCAAGGAAAAAGCAGTACAGTTTGGGATTAGCCATTGTTATTCCAGTGAAGGTAGGAAGCAGCACTCACCCAGAGGTCAACAGTCCTTGGTTGTCCAAGTCCTTGGTTGTTTATAGCATAAAGAACATCTGATTTAATGTGAGGTAGGGAAATAATCATTTGAGTATAAGTATGTACAGCTGTAAGATGCTTGAAAAGTGCTTGAATTTGACTGTGGAAAAGGTGTAAGAACCCTGGGTATTGCTCTTAAGCTATATTCAACATGTATATTTTACACTATTTGTATTAATGTTTGCTTTCCTATCTTAGTCTGCAACACCATTGTAAAAGAGATCATTCCATTAAACACTTTCTTTAATTTATTTATAATATTATTGGCGCCCTACTTAAAGACTTTATATGTTCACTGACTTTCTTTCTTATTTTTTTACAATGGATGTGTAGATACTTGTTGATTTACTTGTATTAACGTGTGCTTGCCTCTTTATTTATTATCTTAGTCTACTAGCAGTGGGCCTGCACTTTTCCCTGCTGAGGGGACTAATAAAGTGCTTCTGCGGCATAAACAGGGTTGGATAATGTGGTGCTTAAAGAAAGCAACCTTCAATGAGACAATACCAAGCATCAACTATACGTAAATACTTGAGGATGAAATGTAAAAGTTTGTTTGTCAACATTTTCCTCTGTTCTCTGGACAGGTGTGGTTAGCTGAAACGCAGCCATGATGAAATCGGGCGCCACCAAGGTGGGGCTGCCCAAGTCTGGACTCCAGGAGCGGACCAAGCAGAACTCCTTTGCTTCATCCTCCTCCACCACCACCTCCACAGCCATGAAGACCTCCAGATCCTCCAACACACTGGCCTCAGACCAGCGCCTCAGTAGGGTGAGTCACAAACGCAACACAATCCTACACATAATATGTTGCATTGTTGGAGGAGCTCTGGACCTAAGATTTGCATTGCCATAACTACACTGTAGCTACTGTGCGCATGATAATAAAACCTTTGAATCTTGAATCCAGAGTTCACCTCCTGTTCTAAAGCATAGGTGCAGCCAGAGGTGGAGGAAGTACTCAGATCTTTTACTGAAGAAAAGGTGTTCCAAGTCAAAGTTCTGTATTCAGTACGAATGTATCTGCATCTAAATATACCATACAGTAAGAACCAAAAAAAAACTAGTGATAAATGAATGCGTCTGTTACAGGTAGTGAAGATAGAGCTGATTTGAATTACTTTATATACGGCTGCTGGATGTGTTACCAAAAAACAATGGGTCAATGTTTATTAATTAGTTTAGTATATATTGTATAAGCTAATAATCTGAAGCTATATACATGTAGTAATTAAAGCTGTCAAATAAATGTGGTAGAGTACAATCTCGGTTTCCAAATGTAGTGGAGTAGTAAAAAGCACAAGTTGAAAATACTCAGGTAACTTTAAAATTGTACTTAAGTACAGTACTTGAGTATGTACTTTATTGTATGATAATAATAATGGTCCAAAATGAAGTCGTAATGCACTTTTTCAATTGAAAAATGAAAATGATACAAACCTGTAATCCACCATAAAGGCACATGCTCATACCTTCACATAATGAATGAAGCAAATTGAATAGCTATTAAACATAATGTTAACATTAGTAGAGCTATATGGTTGATACTTAGAGGCTGTGCTGTTTGTGTTTCCAGATGAAAAGAGCCAGCAGTGACGATGCCTTGACGAAGCCGGCACTGGGAGCGGCCTCTGGCTCCCGGATGAAAAAGACCGTAACCACTGGAGCCATCTCAGATCTGCTGGAGGCCCGCCCTCGCAGCCTGTCGGGTAGGGGACTTCCTGTCTTATCAGATATCTTTAATGACCTCATTTTAGAGACTTGGTTTGATGTCAAAATGCCAAAAATCGGGAAGAGTGTTGCAATGCTCACACATTATGGATGTGACTCGTATCTGTGTCAGAGTTAGGAGATTATTATGGTTAACACTGCAGTATGAAAGTAATGCAACTGACCACTAGAGGGCCACAGTTCACCATTAGACAGGTGGTACATTTAGAGATTTTCCTCTTTCCACTTTCCCCTTTTTTGTTTTCCTTTTCTTTTGATTTGGTTGGCATTGATGAGATGCAGGTGGCTGAAGAGGACTAAGGTTCTCTGGGTTTTGGTCCAAAACTAAGAGACTGGAAGCATTCATGGTCTACTCCTCTCAAAACAACAGCTCAGCCACCCGATTAACAGGCTATGTTTTTTATTACAAATGAGGAAAATGTACTTCTTTCTCTCCAAAAAGAGAACAATTATGTGTTTTTTTTTTGGCTGGCCTTTTGGTGTTATTTTTGCTTTATTCGGTGCTAGCCTTAAGCATTATGTAACATTTTCAAATGAGACGAGATTATTGAGAATGCAATTTTTGTAATACTGTAGAGATGTAATTATGGGCAGTATTTCCCAAGCATATTTCTCAAGTAATGGCCGTATATATCCACATTTGAAAAGCAGCATTAAAATGCAGTTATCATCTAAAGACGTGACGTCCACAATATCTTCCCCATCACCCTCCAGCCCCCTTCCTGCTTAACACACGTGTATAAATGAACATTTATGGTATATTGGTATATTTTGAGATAATTTTCTTCAAAATATGGATGAAATATATCACATCCAATGGTGAAATTATTTTCCAATTATTGCAATATTAGTCTATTAGTCAATATTAGGCTAACTGCGAAGTTGTAACAAGAATAACTTCGGCAACATCTCAAACAACATTAAACAGGCATACAGATATTTTATTGCTCTCGTGTTGTATGAGAAGACCAGGAGAAGGGTGTAAATAACTGACAGACTTGATGACTACGGCTTCTGCGTTGAACACATTGCTATTGTTGTTTGGTCCATGCCATCCATGTACATCTTTTGTGAAGTGAGTGAGTGAATCACACATTATCTTATTAACTCGCCAAGTCACTGAAAATGCTGTACATTATTAACAGGATGCTTTGTAAGCCTAAACACTTTTAAGTATTTGTATTATCTGTTGAATGATGTTGGTATTGTACTTTGTATGAGCTAGGTGTGCCACTGGATAAACAGAGCAACTACAAATAGAGCTGATGGAAAAACATGTATTACATATAAGACTAATGTGGCTGTAGGTAATGACAGGGATTTGTTTGCAGTAATTAATGTTGTTCCCAACATGAGGGAGGTGGCTGTGTTTGCTTTTGGTGTCCAAACCACAGTTTGATGTGCACTAGTGAGAATTCTCCTTCAAAGGCTTGTGTTGTTGTGCTACAGCTAAAGCAAAGATAATTGAATTCTACTTGACAAAGCCTCCAGTGAGAAACCGAGGCCAAGTGAGGCTCTGGGTCTTTCAAACACAATTAGGCTGTGGGTCCGTCCAGCTTTCAGTGAATTGGACTCTAATTACCCAAAGTTTGTCTTGTCCTCCTTAGCTGTTTTCACACCCAAGGACAAAACCAGATTCCCACTTGGTCTTCCCATATTACTCTTACGCTAGCCCCTTTATGGTCGTCAACCAAAGTTGAGGATAGGAATATTGTTAAATAATCATTTGTATTAAAGTTGCAATTAACAACTTTCCAACTGTTGGTGTTTGATATTCATATGAACAAGCAGGACAATCTACATGTTCATATCGTTGGCAACATTTATACCGCGCAAACTGGCTATTGTAAGTAAGAAACAATCATAAAGATCACAATTTGAAGTAGAAACCCTGATCTCAGTGCTATGATAAAGGCAGACTGAAAGAAACGCCTGGTGGCAGGTTTGGTAAATTATGTAATGTTTTTTTAATATCTTTACCTCTTTGCCTCCTTTGTCAACAGGTCCTTTGCAAGGTAGTTCTTACAGTTAATTTCCCTTCTAGGGAGCTTTTGTCTTGTGCTGCTTTTAGAGCAGAAGGGGCTAGCAGTAAAAGGCCATCCATGACTATGTGGGAGGAAATAAAATGTCTCCTGACTTTGTTCAGACTATAGTCTCTCTATGCTATTATTTTGTTACCTTCATAAGTATAGGCATACAGTAACTCAAGCTTTATCTGCTTCCTTTGTGTGCTCTAAGTGTAACCTTCATTTCCCTGGGAGATCATACCCTATCATAGATCAAATTGCATAGTGAAAGCGGAGCCTAACCAACGTCAGTGGTGTCATTATTCTACATTTTGCAATCAACATTTACTTTATAATGATCAGTTAAAGCAAAAGACAGTCTATTGCCACTGTAAAGAAACTCATCTCTAAAATAGAACAGAGCTGCTGTTATCATATTGATGATTTTAAAATCATCAAGCATGTAGAACTTCAAATAATTTTCCCATAGTGGAAGCTGTTTTGTTCTGCACCTGCCACCTGTGCTGCGCTCTACATCAGTGCACGTCAAGAAGTATAACGACAGACAATGAATGGATTCGTCTAACAGGTCTCAAGAATCTAAATAATCAGCAAGTGGAAGATCCTATTTGACACCTGAAAGAGCAGCAATGGTTAATCATGCATGCCGGCGGTGACAATCATCATTTAGCCTCCTGCTATCATTTCTAAGCCACTGAGCATGAGAGTTCTGCTGAAATGTCCACACAGAGGAAATGCCACGATTTGAATATAGATTGGGGTGATGATCTGTGGTATTTTAAACTCATTGAAGTTTTTATCTGAAAGCTTTAATATTTATTGATGTAGAAAGGAAAGTGTCTGAAGTAAAATCTGTTTTGGGTAAAGAGAAAATTCCCTGAAATCTGATTTGCATTTGGGCAAAATGCATATTCTCAAATACTTGAGATTTCTTGTGTGATTGTCGAACCTCAGATTGAGGAGGAACAATGCGGATTCCGTCCTGGTCGTGGAACCACGGATCAGCTTTTTACTCTCGCAAGGATCCTGGAGGGGGCCTGGGAGTACGCTTATCCGGTCTACATGTGTTTTGTAGATTTGGAGAAGGCGTATGACCGAGTTCCCAGGGAGTTACTGTGGGAGGTGCTGCAGGATTATGGGGTGAGGGGGTCTCTACTCAGGGCATCCAATCTCTGTACTCCCAATGCGAGAGCTGTGTCCGGGTCCTCGGCAGTAAGTCAGACCCATTTCCGGTGAGGGTTGGCCTCCGCCAGGGCTGCGCTTTGTCACCAATCCTGTTTGCAATATTCATGGCTGGATTTCGAGGCGTAGTCGTGGGGGAGGGGGTCTGCAGTTCGGTGGACTAAGGATTGCACCACTGCTTTTTGCAGATGATGTGGTTCTAATGGCTTCATCGGTCTGCGACCTTCAGCACTCACTGGATCGGTTCGCAACCGAGTGTGAAGCGGCTGGGATGAGGATCAGCACCTCCAAATCTGAGGCCATGGTTCTCAGCAGGAAACCGATGGACTGTCCACTCCAAGTAGGGAATGAGTCCTTACCCCAAGTGAAGGAGTTCTCGGGGTCTTGTTCTCGAGTGAGGGAACAATGGAGCGTGAGATGGGCCGGAGAATCGGAGCAGCGGGAGCGGTACTGCAGTCGCTTTACCGCACCGTTGTGACGAAAAGGGAGCTGAGCCAGAAGGCAAAGCTCTCTGTCTACCGGGCCATTTTCGTTCCTACCCTCACCTATGGTCATGAAGGATGGGTCATGACCGAAAGAACGAGATCGCGGATACAAGCGGCCGAGATGGGTTTTCTCCGCAGGGTGGCTGGTGTCTCCCTTAGGGATAAGGTGAGAAGTTCGGTCATCAGGGAGGGACTCGGTGTTGAACCGCTCCTCCTTCGCGTCAAAAGGAGCCAGTTGAGGTGGTTCGGGCACCTAGTTAGGATGCCACCTGGGCGCCTCCCTAGGGAGGTGTTCCAGGCACGTCCAGCTGGGAAGAGACCGAGGGGTAGACCTAGGACCAGGTGGAGGGATTATGTCTCTTCGCTGGCCTGGGAGCGCCTTGGGATCCCCCAGTCAGAGCTGGTTTATGTGGCCAGGGAAAAGAAAGTTTGGGGCTCTCTGCTGGAACTGCTACCTCCGTGACCCGACCACGGATAAGCGGGATAAGATGGATGGATGTTGTCGTTATCATCAGTGTTGTCAGGTTTGTCTTAAACAAATGGGTTTCCCCCCCTTGTTGATATGTGAGATTACTCATTTAAAAAGCAGTTGGGGCTTATTGGTCTCTATAGCTACCTTTACATGATCGGGGTAAACGACTCTGTGCCATTGTTTTCCTAAAAAGAGAGCCGTGCCCTTGGTGTGGCATATTACTCCAAATTGCCACCGAATGCTGTCCTTTGACCCTGGTTACCACTTTCCTTTCAGAGATAACAGTTGGATTTGACATAGCTATTTTTTGATGATATAAACCTGTGCAGCACTATTAATCTCATCGGCCGTATTCACTATGCTCTGCGCCCTGCCTGGTGGTGAGCTCAGAGAAAATCACGTGATGGCAGATTAAGGCCCACTGCAGCAGAACTGTCATCATACCCCTCAAGAAGTAATTGAGTTTTTCTCGGAGACCATTCCAGTTCATTTTGTGACTAGGCTGTGGACAGATGACAAGACCCTCCCTGAGTGGTAAAAACCTATTTTAACTTAAGGTAAATGTAAAGAGTATTAACCGTTGTACTTTCATTTGCTGCTCACAAATTATGCGTCTCTATTTGGTAACAGTTCGTCATCTTGTGTCAAAGTGTTATTGTACCCTCATCCCTACTGAAAATTATGCAAATCAATTGTAGGAATGAGGTCGGCAGTAGATGCATCATTTATTTTCTCAAGTTTGATTCAAACTGGGTCACACATGCCTAAGAATCTGTGCGTACATCAGAAAGCAAGGTCGCAAACATTAAAGC